TTTAGGGCTTTGGACTTTGGGTTTAGGGGTTTAGAACCGAGGGCTTAGGGTTGGGGGTTTAGGGGTTTGGGGCTTAGTAGGGGTTTGGGGCTTAGGTTTAGGGGTTTGGGGCTTAGGGTTCAGGGGTTTGGGGCTTACAATCTAGGGCTTTGGGTTTGGGGGTTTAGGGTTTAGGGGTTTAGGGTTTGTTTAGGAGAGATTTAGGCTCCATCGCTGCATGTTTGCTCAGTCGCAGTTGCGTCTCAGAGAGCTGGTGAGAGCCAGCGCAGTCCTCCTCGACAGAATCAGCAGCCCTTGCCAACTTGCCCTGAACCCTAAACCGTAAACCCTATTGTCCAGGACAGCCTGCGCACCTCGTTCGCCAAAGCAACCTATAAACTCGTAACAAGAAAACTGATCCTTAACTTATCTATATCCCGTAAGCAGCAATTCCTTAAGTCAGCCACGCGTTTCCGCGTGACTGTAAACTTTGCACCCGAAGCCCCGAAGCAGTTAACAATTTAGTATATAGAGGTCTGTGTACTTAGCAATTGTGCCCCCTTGTAGTCACGATACAACTGCATTGCCGTACACCCTGGAACTCTTTGCAAAATACTGAGGCCCCTCTATAAACTCCGTAAACTACGGTATTACAGAGGGTTTCCTAAACCCTAAACCCTAAACCCTAAACCCTAAACCCTAAACCCTAAACCCTAAACCCAAAAACCTCAAGGGTATTGGGCTACGAGGGGTTTAGCACATGGAGTCGCTGAAGTCTGCATCCAAAACGGCCCTGGGCACCAAAACTCAAGGCCTAAAACCAAAGAAACAACCCCTGGGTCTAGGGTTTAGGGTTTAGGGTTTAGGGAACCCTATTCCCAAACCAAATGCCCCAAATACTAGACCCAGCCACACTTCTGGGTTTAATGAAGAGGTGTTACGGGAGATGCTTAAGGGCTGGCAAGCGAATCACCATACACGAATGCCTGTGATGGGCTTCATGATCCTTTCTGATGTCTTTGCATCATGGCCGTGGCATCAGCGTGCAGGAGGCAGGAACAGCGGGGGTTTCAGGTGTAGCGGGCTTGGAGTTTACGATGTAGGCTCTAGTCTTTGAGGCTTTCGTGTTTAGGGTTTAGGGCTTGCGGGTTAGGTCTAGAAGTTTGCGCCTTAGCCCTATGGCGGCATTGGGGAGACCCCTTACTTGGAGGCCCAGGGGACTTAGTAACTAGGTTATAAGTAGAGTTCTAAGTGCCCTAAATGGAGTTACCCTAATTATAACCTTACTTATAACCGACTTACTAAGTCCCTTGGGCCTCTCAGTAAAAGGGGACCCCTATGAAGCTCAGGTGGACAACAGGATGGTGATACTTGCTGCAGCGTTGTGCGTTGGCTTGGCCTTGCCCCTGACTTTAACACCTCCGTCTTCAATCCCACTCCGTATCCTATACCCCTATAGACCCATTAATAATCAAACGAAAACTAAACCCTAAAACCCTAAACCCGAAAATCCTAAACGCTAAACCCTAAAACCCCAAACCCCTAAAACCCAAGACACCTAGACCCTAAACGCTGAACCGGGAACCTAGATCCTAAAACCCTAAGACCTCAAAGCCTGTGCGGCCCCAAACCGTTATAGTCGGGTCTCGGGTTTAGGATTCAGGGTTATAGTTAAGAATGGGAGCTGTCCTTATAGCAAGTAGCCCTCAGGCGGAAGACTAAGCCCTTAACCTGCAACCTCTGCCTTTTTTAGGGTTTAGGGGTTTCGGGTTCAGGGTTTTAGGGTTTAGGGTTTAGGGGTTTAGGGGTTAGGGGTATGCCTGAACCCGAAATTCTAAACCTTGGATACTGCCTCTCTCGGTAACGGCTGGAAAAGAACTCAGAATACAAGCCCTTAAATATGACCCGTAGTATAGACTGTTACAGGGTGGGGGCAGTACCCAACCTGCACCCTAAACCCTGAACCCTAAACCGCAAACCTTAAACCCCAAACATTAAACCCTGCACCGTAAACCCCAAACCCTAAGCCTTAAACCCCAAATCCTAAATCCCGAACCCTATAAACCCCAAGCCCTATACGAGT